CTTTCATGCATACTAGATTATATGCTCCTCATAGAGTTTTTTTTTTTTTTTTTTTTTTTTTTTTTTTTTTATAGATCTTTACTTGATTCAATTGATTAAGAAGGCCTAAAATCAAAGGTAGAGGATACCTACTCTTGATGGTGAACTTGGTAAATCTTTAATAGTCTATACAAATCCACAGAGATCTATCTTTTTTCTTTACAAATAAAATAAGAGCTTCCATTGGAGATTTAGAATGATATATGAAATTCTTAACCAAATTTTTATTAATGTATTCTTTGAATACAACCAACTTGTTTTGTAATAGGTTACAGATTGATCTAAATAGTGGTTGAATTCCTTCATGAAGATTGATAGAACAATCATAAGAACAATGCTATAGAAGAATATTTATATTATTTTTTTCAAAAATGTCCTGAAAATCTTGATACTAGTTAGGAATACTACTTGACATCTTCTCACCATCAGAAATGGGCATGGCATATAAAGCAAAAGATAACCTTTCTTTTGTGGCATGCATAAAAGCTTTTGCACCTACCACTAAGAGTTTGGATATATTAGACTTATATATTTTTACTTAACTAACAAGATTTTGGATTAAACTATCAAAAAAATTAAAGTTACAAGAAATCCAATCTATTTGAGGATTGTATTTTTTTAATCAAGATAATCCTAAAATAATTAGATTGAACGGAGATCTTATTATATTAAATATTACTATGCTATTATGATCTTTAATTTCTACATCTAAAGAAATAGTCTCATGTGTAATATCTCTAGAAGATAGCGAATGATCATCTATAATTTCTATATGTGCAGGTTTAGTTTTTTTAATTAATGATATTTCTTATTTTTTGATAAAATATTTGTTTATAGAATAGGCTAAGAGTCTTGAATCTAACAAAGTAAAGACTTTGTGATTTTTTGGTCCTAAATAAACTTCTATTATAAAATAAGATGAGGATTTGATGAGAGAATAGGACCATTATTAGGAATTACATAAAATTCCATCTATATGGTGTCGTGATGTAATATGATTAGTAGGTGAAAGGGTGAAGAAATATATCATGTTTTGAGGATCTCACTTCAAAAATATTTCAGCAAATTATCTTAGAAAAATAGATATTAGTAAAAAGGTAGAAAAATTAAAGGTGCTAATGCTGCCTTTTTACAAATTATGCTTCTATTTACTTTGTAAGGCCATAAATAAGGCAAAACAAGGTAGATTAGAAAAATAAAGGATATAGACATATGTAGGGAGGAGTTAGGAGTGCAAATTAGTAAAAATTACCTCAAGAAGATGAAAGTTGATACCCGGAGAGGGCCGGTTATGAACCAGGGTCGAAATCAGACCCTGGGGCACAAAACTGAGTCTCCATGATGACTCCGGGATTCTTTGGCAGATCGGAGAGTGGGATTTGATAGAAGATTGGATAGGGTTTCTATAGGCATTGAATTCAAGTGATTTGAAGTTGATATGACTTTGTAAGAGCTTTGCAAAGTCGATGTTTGTTTCAGATGACTTGGATTTTATGAAATAAAATAGGGTTTATGTTTTGAGTGATTTCGAAAGTTTTGTTACAAATCTACAAATGAAATTTTTTGGTTCATATTTATAGTTTTGTTAAATACATGTTGTGAATTTGAACTCGATCTAACGATTGAAACGAGAGATATTGAGGTTTAAGTGGGTCAAGGTCTCAGAAAGTAGAATTTTAGGTCCAATGAGGGTTTTTAAGATTTCATACGATTTACTAGTTGGATTGGAGTAAATCTTATGTAAGAGGGTATTAGACTTGTTTTTCTATGTCCAAAAGAAATTTGAAACCAATCGAACGGCGCAAAGAAGAAAAATTGGCTCTGGAAGGTTGGCATCAAGATTGGAGAAGGAAGCCGGCTAACACCCAAACACATTTGTGAGGTTTTCGTCAATTTGGTAACTCCGATCCTTTTCAAATTTTTTTGTACTTGTTTTAAACTTGATTTTTAAGAAGTATGCAAATTTTGAATTGAGATCGACAGTTTATTCATTAGATATTGAGGTTTAAATCTGTCATAGGAATTACTAGGATTTGGATTAGGAATTAGGGTTTGGTTAGGGTTTGATTTAGGGTTTGGATTAGGGTTTCGTTAGGATTTGATTTAAGATTTGGATTAGGGTTGAGGGTTGATTTAGGCTTTGATTTAGGATTTAGGGTTTGAAATAGGGTTTGATTTGGGATTTAATTTAAGGTTTGTTTAAGATTTGACTTAGGGTTTAGGATTTATTAGGGTTTGAGATTTAATTAGGTTTGGTCTAAAGTTTGAGTGAAATTCAATAGGATTTTAACTAGAATTAATTTAAGGTTGAATTGACATATATTTGAGTAATATTTGTGATCATTCTAATATTTCTTTAAGAATTTTATTGTTTGTTTGAAATTTCTTTGAGTTGTTTTGAATTTGATTACGTTTTTTTACCATTATTATAGTCTAATTAGAGCATTGTTAGTATTCTATTAGAATTAGGATTTTGTTATTGCAATTTCTATTCTTCCTTCTATAGCCAGGTGCCCGGAGCACTCTCAAGCAAGACTTCACACATTACGACAACGGTTCTTATTGTAGCTGAAAAAATTTGTTTTCCAATATATTGTCTTTTTTGGCAATCATGCTTCTCATTTTGTAGTTGCATTGTTTTTTTGAATAATGTTGAGCAATGTATTTAGCTTCACTACAATATAAGCATAAGTCGTCTTAACGTTGTCAAGTTCTTTCCTATTCTATGAGAGATTTAAAATGTATTGTATCAATTTGTATTGGTTTTGGCTTTGATGAATGTATTTTTAAAAACTTTGAAGCTGCAATCATTATTTGATTTGTTCCTCTCCAACCAAGTCTTTGTTCTTGATATCATTTAAATAATCAATTATCACATATAATGACTTGGGCAATAAATTGTTTCAAAGATTTTACCTTTAATATTGTCGATAACAAATCTTTGACATTATCCTACAATCCATATCAAAATTAATTAATAAAAGCTTTGTCATTCCAGTCCACGTCACAAACTAAGTTTTGAAATTTAGCAGCATATATAGTCGCTGATTGTGATTCTAGAAATGAATTCAAATCATAAAAGAGTGGTGAACCTTTTTTCATTAAAGATACAAACAAAGAGAGAGCACAACTTCTTACTGCAGACTCTGAACTTTTTCCATAGGCTTAAAAATAGTACCTCCATGATTCACATTGGAAATACATGAGATTCCTATTCTTAAAGTGTTGACAAGTTCATGAAGATCTACAATAGTTGCAAATCTATTCTTACTTTTGTTGAGAGTAGCATCCATAATCTTTTCTTTGATAGACAACTCAAATAAGTTCAAAAAATTAAATTAGAGGAGGATAATCCGCAACCTCTAATATCAAATGAAAATTTTCACAAAGAGGGGTAATTCACTCTCTTTAAGGAAAAGATTAGTATTAAAAAAAAAGATTGCTTGTTTAAAGGTAGATAGTCCACAACCTTCAAAATACAACAATAGAAATAGGGTAATCCACTCACTTTTTGAACAAGATAGAAACAGTAAGTTAGCACTCTTGTCAAACTGTCAAGGATATGAATCTTAGAGAAAGAAATCCTTAATACACTCTTGTGATACTAAAAAGAACTAGAAAGTCACTCAAAGATGATATAATATTAAACTATAATGGCTATTGCCAAAAATAAAAAAATTAGAAAATCTAGAAACAAAACTAAGGACTAGAAAGGCATTGATAAGAATGAAGAAGGCTTCATTCTTGCCTCCATATATACTCTTAACTAGAAACTATGTGGCAATGTCCTATAGGACCTCCAAAACGTATTGACTTTACAAGATACATATCTTAACTTATAAGGCAAGTTTTCTATATGTGCCACATAGTTAGCTTATTCTTCAAGTTATCAATATGTGATTAACTTGTTAACCAAGTTTCTAATCTATCAATCAACTACAAACACATGTAAAGTCAAAGTAGCATCTATGAAGCTTTTAAGAAGCTTCTCTTGCAGGTATTATGAAATTAACTTACTTTTATCTATTTTTATCTACTTCTACTTAATCATATAGTTATTTACTAAAATATTTATGTATACCCATGATGTGTAGTAGGGTTGTGAAGGCACGCAAGACATGGGATACAACAAGTAAGGTGTAGAATACAAATCAATACAATGTAAAAAAAAATGACAAGGAGGCAAAGGACAAAATGTACACAAGTTTTTAAGAACCAAGACTAGTACACAAGAACAATCCTACTGATAATATATTGAGAATGTTTGGAGAGACACAAGAGTAGCTGGAAGTAATATGCATACATACACAAGAGAGTATATAGAAGGAAAAAAAGTTTCTTTTCTATGTATTAATGTAGTTATCTCTTACATACAAAAAAAATAGAAGAAGATAAATAGTTTCTCCTCACTACATTCCAAACATTGTAGCTATAGTATTTATTATAAACTATAGTAAATATTATGGAAAGCGCTAGTTATATTTAATGCTCTCAATAACTTTGACACATGCATCATAAAACCTCTGTCTAATAAATGAATACAAATCATCATCCTTAAGATAACATTTTGGCAAAAGAAAAAACAAAATTGCTCCTTAACTAATTATCCTCCACACTTTGAGAATAGAAAGTAGAAGATAAAAAGTAGAAGATAAAAACCCATCAATAAATAATTGCACCCAAATGCTAAGTTTATAAACTAGAAAGATTCATCCACTAAAAATACATTCATTTTCTCCAAGCACCGAAATCCAGCAACAGATTCCAGACCCAAGGGGCAGCAAATTTGGCAAGAATGTATACAATTAATCCCGGCATTGCCTCATTCGAAGGCATACAACTCGCACAATTTCTGAAAACCCTACAGTGCGATCGATCGATCGATGCACGGGACGATGCAGAAACATGGGGATCGAAATCGATTCTAAGCGATTGTTTGAGTGTGAGTGTGTGTGTGTGTTTTCGAGGTGATTTGGTTGAAGTCGAGATTCGCCGCAAATCAATCCTGGATTGTATGCGGGGAACCCCGGATATGAATGAGCGAATGATTTAACGAGGGGTTGATATGAAAGAATGCGAGAATATGCGAAATCTGGCGATGGCACGCGATGCCATCCAAAGATACCTTCGAGTGGCTGTCGTTAATCTGCCCGCCCGCGCATCCACGTTTAGCTTCTGTCGCGGACATGTGTGTGTGTGTGTTGTGAAAGCGTCTCCGGGCGTGTGTTGACTATCTCTCTCCATTGGATGAAGCGGTTCCTGGTCCTTGGAATCGCTGCGGTGCTCCCTTCCGTGACTTGGCCGAGTTTTGGCCTGTTGATCCGAGTTGGTTTGTCGTTGCCGGGGTGAATCTCGTCCCCTCCTGTGGTGGCTTTTCGTGCGTGTTCCCTTCGGCTGTTGTGTTTCCGTCAGCAGCCCTCGGCATTGATGTGTTGTAACTCGATCAGAAATGAGTGACTGCGTGATTTTGTGATGTAATGCGCTACTAGTGATTCCCACCGTAAATAGACCGCAGCTTCAAGGATGCTACTGATTCTTACATTCCGTTCGGAGTCTGTGAGTCGGTTTGCTAAGGAGACTAACAAGTGAATTCCACTAACCAGTAGCTGGTCTGGAGTGATAGTGCTCTTTTGAGAGCATTGGCATTCGATTGAGTCCTATCGTTCCACCAGTCATCTGCTCAATTCTCTAAGGTTTTGCTAGCTTTTAGCATATTTGTTCGAGCTCCGTCACGGTTGATCAGGATGCACTCTGTTTCTGTAAGAGCACCGTGGGAGGGTGCTTGCTCAAGTTTGAAAAGCTCCCGCAATCATGAGCATTTCCTGGCGAGGGATTCCCGACCACATAGGGTGCGGTGTGGAGTTGCTGAGCCTTCTGGAAAACCGGCGCCCTTTGGTCAAATCACGCGCTACAACGACAATATTCTGGACAAAGCTTTCATTGCCCTATTTCGCCGAAAAATGGAAGCGAACTTAGGTACTTTCATGTCCCGAAGACTTGTAATTCTCATGGCATTTTGCGTCGGTCTCTTTATGTAGTTTCCTCTCATCACAAGGATGCAGACCTTGTTGCTTGAGTGAAATTCACTGATCCAAGACTATCTTTCGCAATCTTGACGCCTTCGATTGTACTCATTTCAAATATCAGTGTAGAAGTCTTCTGTACACAATTTATTCAGGAATGGAATATTCCCGAATGTTGCTATCACTACAGTCTTCGCTCTTTGTGAGATACACCAACTGGGCTTGTCGGCGTATTTGAGGTCAATTTGTTGGATAGCACATGGCGGCGTAGTAGCTGGTGTCCGGTGCTCATGTAGATGTGTGCTTAACAGGTAAGACCTCGAAGATGCAAGGTTACGAGGGATTTGTGGATGTTTCAAAGAAAATAATGCAGGGAAGAACAGCAGTTGAACAGAGAGCAGTTGTCCGTGACGTTCTTCTCTCGCTTCTTCCTCCTGGAGCGCCAGCACAGGTACCTCTAGTCACCATTTATTTCGATAGGACGCACATGTTTGCATCAAAATACTTCACGGATTGTGGGTCAGAAGCAGGGTGCTATGTACAGAAATATATTTTACCCTATTTCTCTGAGCTTCTCAAGCGTATTGCTGCGTTTCTGAGTTATGATGTCATACTCACAGAAAATATGTAAGTCTTGGTATTTTCTGTATTAAAAATTAAAATAACGGAATTTTCTGTGGAGTTTGTGCTCCAAGCTCCTACATATTGATGACGTGCGTCTTCCCAATTTTATTTGTTATACGTCTTCACGCTTCTCTTTCAATGTTCGCAGTTCAGAAAGTTGTTTCCACCCACAAAGTGGTCGGCAGAGTTCAATGCCGCTGTCACAGTGCCCTTCTTCCAATGGCTTGTTGGGCCAGCTGAGGTAAGTCAATAACACAACCTAGCATCTTAGAAGCAAAAATGCAGTGTCACTTGTTCATTAGATTTTTATGTCGCTTATTTCGCGAAGGGGCCTAAAGTGTAACTGCGGTCGTCATTTCTTTCTAGTTAGTACATCTGGACATGACTGAAGAAAAAGAACATGCACGTAGATGTGCATTTCTCATCTGCTGTGATGGGACGGCATTGCAGTTGATGGAGATCGAGGTAAATGGAGTGAAGCAAATGAGTGGCGTAAAAATCACTAAGTGCAGGTACTTGCCATTTTTTTCCACTCTTGTTTTCCCTCTATTCTGCTTATCTTGAATCTGTCAAGTGTTGTAGAGGTGGTACTAATGACACAATAGCTGCGGATGAGAACAGATACCTAGAAAATAGTGGATGCGTCGGGATGTGCGTCAATATGTGCAAAATCCCGACCCAGGATTTCTTCACCAATGAATTCGGTCTTCCACTTACTATGACACCCAGTGAGTGCTTGACTTCACAGCAGGACTTTAAAACGCTGGGTCATTGGTTTTTTAGCTGCCCTATTGTTAGTTCTGTGTTGAGTCTGACTGATCCGTCTCACAAGAATGCTATGTGTACGTTGACGACAATCCCAATTCTTTACTGTGCAGATTTTGAAGATATGAGCTGTGAAATGTTCTATGGACAGAGTCCGCCTCCCATAGAAGAAGACCCTGCGCTTAAGCAACCGTGTTTTTTGAATATGTGTATGTCCTCGCTCTTGTCTACCCTCCGATAAAATATTAATTAGATTCATTTCTGAGCAGCAGCTCCCATCGTCATTTTAGTTTTATATATAGTTTGACTAGCGTTGAAATGTAGAATTTTCTCAGAAAATATTACCTCTTAATGCAAGTTTTGGTACAGTTGTGTATGGATTTAACGAGCTTGTCAGCCTGCACTGGTAGAACTTTTGTTGCTGAAACACATTCGTGATTGGATTGAAATCTCAGGTTCAATTGCTCCACCACAGTCGACTGCATGTCCGAAGCTACAACAAGTCGCACAAGAGATTTCACTCACTGAAGCTTAGAGTTTGTTGAGCAGCTGGGCAACAGAAGTCTTCATCAAGGAATCATGGTAGAGAATATGATCAATTGTGGAGCAATTCACATCTGTATAAGAGGAAACGTCTGCTGCGCTCTTCAGCTAGCTGGTAGCTCCGACATCCTTTGTAGATTAATGTTGATTTTCTGACTAAAAATATACACATACATTTGATCTCAAAAGCAGTGACAAGTTCCACGAATGACGAGCTTTGGAACAAGGCTAGTTACTATTCAAATCTTCTAGCAAATAGAATCCTTATCATGACAACGGCGTCTCTCACACATTTGCATTCGACCACATGAGGCTTTGAGCTCTGGACATCCTCTACATGTACTTCTTAATGCGTACACCTGAAGAGAAAAGACTATTGAGAAAGGCTTCACGATGTATGTTAGTGGGAGGTCGAATCCAATGTATGAAGCTACAAAGTCCCTTGTGTTCACGGCAATGATATCTAACTCATCAAATCGTATATGAAAGACCCAAAAAGGCAGAACATGACGGTAATTATTTATGTACTCACTTCACTAGAGAAATGACTATGGATCCTAAGTTGCCTCTAGAATATCTCTTAAAACTGATTCAAATCACAAACACCAATTAAATAATGAGAATATTTGTACTTCCAGTAATAGATGTGAACAAATACTTGAGGTATGATTGGATTAGATGCCTAACAACAAACTTGTCTTTTGTATTTGCATGGTGTGAGTAATAGCATAACAGAAACTACACCAAGAAGTTGTGGGCTAGTCTCATGAGTTGGAAAACATATGGGAATCATAGTGAGAAAAAGATATGTGATTAGTGGATAGTGAACAGTTGTCTCAAAAAAAAAATATATATATATGAAATTTTATTTGGTGTGCACTTGTACATGTTAGAGAAAGTACAAATGGGAGTAGCAAATAGGAGTGGCAACAATCTTAAAGTAAAAGATTTTACTCTATTTTGTAAAATATCAAGTTCTTTGATAAATTTGAGAAAATCATAAGTCACAATAGATTTTTTTTTAAAATAAGTTAGATATCCTCATCTAATCAAATGAATTCTTAGCAAGAGTATCTTTTCTAATTTTGCTTGTAATTGTGATAGCTTCTTGTACATGTAATTGAAGTTTATAAGTAGGTTATAAGAGTAAAAATAGTTTTTCTAGAGAAATATGTAGTGATAGTATATATTATTAAGAAGAAACTCTTCATAGAAATTTTTTCTTCTTGGCCAAGTCAATTTGAACAATTGATATAAGAACCAATTGCAATAGGCAATAATATAAGCAAGATTTTTTTAATTTAGAAACAAAATCAAAAGTTACCATAAAGAACATATCAATACAATCTCCATTTAGGATCTATTTTGGCATTTGCACACTTTATCCTTGGCACCCTCATTTTGATCCCAAAGCATTGTGTAAACTAAAATTTAAAAGTAATATTTAAACAATGATAATATCAACTTGAATCTTATTAAAGAAACTTCTAGATAAATTTTTTTAAAAAATTATCTTTTAGATGATAGCTTATTTATAAGAGATATTAAAAAAAGATTTAGAAAATAACAAAAAAAATATTAATGCTCTTTCATAGCATTACAACTCTAAAAAAAATTAAAATCATTTGGTACAAAGTATAACAACCTTCCTATTTTATGTCAATTTTATATAGCTAGGGATTAAAGAATTAGATAAAACTTACCACTAAGAGCCACCAAAAGAAGAAAAAAAAAAAAAATCACAAAATCACAAAATCACAAAATCTACAAGCTTAGAGATGCAATAATAATAATAATAATAATAATAACTAGTCACATAAGAGTTGTGCTAATACAAGACAAGAATCACTTCAAATGTATACAACAACACCAACAAGAGACTCAAGAACACAAACACCAAAGATTTAATAATATTGATGTATTGTTGAAATAAGAAATTTTATAATCATATCCAAGAGTTAGAATTGAGAGAGAAAAAAAAAAGAGCATGAATACATGTCAATTGACAATATACATCAACTCATACAAATTCTAGTAAAAATTAAGGGCACAAATATTTGTTAACCAAAATTTCTAGAGAATAGAAGAGCTAACCATGAAAAAGTAACACTTTCTCTTATTCCTCTCAAATTGCATATTCTTTCTCTTTAACATTCAAAAACTCATTCCAACTTGTATCCCTACTATAATTTTGGCCATCCATGAATAATATTATAAATTAATAGCTAATTAAAATAATAATGATAATAATAATTCATGACAACATTGTTATTTATATTGTATATACTTGTTTCCACCCTTCTCCAAGGGAATGAAAATCTAAGAAGCCACTCTTTTCAATTAATCTAAAACATTAGATAAGCCTTGTTTAGTGTCAAAAGACGAACAAACAAACAAACAAACGCATGAAGCTCAGCATTTGGGTCAAGAAACTTGCTCCTAAGACAACAAAGCATGAAGCAAAACAGACAGGATTAGGATTCAGGGTAAAAGGCGAAAGGAGGGGGGGGGGGGGGACAAGATATATGCTGCCGGAGTAATGGATGGGGGAACGAAGGGAACACAGGGGAACATGAAAAGAACGCTCAAGGGGGACATGAGAACATCGTCTCTCTTATCCTCTCGGGACTACGTGTTTTGTTTGGTTTTGGGTTTCGCTCACTTTAGCTTTTGCTTCTTCTTCATCGTCTTCGTCTTCGTCGTGTGGCGTTGTAATCCGAAGACCATCTCCCCGTCTTTGAGTCAATCCCATTCACCCTCGACTTCACGAGCTCCCATTTTCCCTCCTCATCTAATCAAACCCACGGTTTTACAGTTGCGTAGGACTCACCGCGCGACGCAAGAGCAGCGGCAATTCCGTTGCGGGAATCTGTTGCTCTTGCTCGTCATTGGCATTGTGCGGTGGACGTGAGATTTTCTGAGTTTACGTCACGATAGAGGAGGTTCGAAACAGCGTTTGTTTGCAGGGGTGAACTTTGGTTTATTTATTTTTTTAATTTCAAGTTTTTGGGTTGGTTTTTCGAAGTGGGATTGAGATTTTTGGAGGAGTGGGTTGGGAATTTATTGAGTTAGTTGTAATTGATAGCCGACGCTTGCTATCTGCGTGGTGGGAATTATCATGCGTAAGCGAGTGGACTATTGCGACGAGCTTCTGCTCCATTGATAATTTTTTGAAGACCCTGGTTTGCGTTGCTGCCTACCTGCAAGGTCTTTATCCCTTATCTTCTAGTCAATGCTTCGTGTTTCTTATACGAGACTTGCTTTTTGAGAAGAACTGCTCCATTTGGGGCTCCCTCACAGGCCAATTGAGATTCACTATTGGACGAGAGAGCGCTGTTAATCGTGTCAAGATGTGATTTATTCATGGTCGGAAAACTTCCAGTAGGTTTTATCTTCTGAACATGTGAAGGATTCTTGGTGGAATTTCGTATTTTCGAACTCAAACCTCAACGTGTAGGTGAAAACACGAGGGTTGGGTTACAGGGTTTAAGCATGCTCAGGGTTTAATTGCACAGGGCACCGTCTAATGCGCATTTCTTAATCGATGTTTTGTCTTCTGCAGGTTCGTGGTCATGGCTGTCTTACATATGAGTCTGCAAGGGAGGTATGCGCGCCCCCCGCACCTCCGCTTCTGCTTCAGTTCCTGTTCCTCTCTCGCTCTCCCTTCTTTTTTTCTGTTTTTCTTCTGAGGGGCTGTGTGGCCAAGTGTGTCTTATTCTAAAGCCTTTGCCAAATGGAGGAAATTAGTAGGGGTTTAAAGTTGAACCTCAAAGTTCCTTGATTAGTGTTTCACTGAAATCTCATTATTTATTCACTAATCCATTTATTTGCTTTAATGCAGGCTGGATGGATGTCAGCCAGTAGAGATAAGTAAATCCCTAAACAGGAGTTCTCTGAAGCATTCCTCTGTATTGCTTCATATGATTGCCCCACCAAGGCAGTCTTTGCAGGTCATTACGCATGCGGTGGCTGGCATTGTTCCAGAAACGAAGAAGCAGCAGGGTTTGGGAGAGACATCGTCTAGGGTAGCTAGGAAACAATTGAAATGGGAGAAAATGATGAGGGAGATCGAAGTTTCAGGCTCAGCAGTTGGAGTTTTAAGTAGTCGAAAAGAAGATGGAAAGGTCTCAAAGGGTGATGTTCTAGGAACGCTTATTAGATTACGACAGCTCAACAAGTGGACTATGGTTCTAGAGGTGCGGTTTACACTCTTATGTTTGGCAACTGCCGTAGAATCATTTAAGTCTCTGGTTGTAAATTGACTCTCCTGAGTGCCTTGTTCTGTTGCAGTGATCTGGTTGGCCTTGGCACACCAAGGTTGAAGGCTTTAGAATGTGGCGATTCATAACTTTTGCTGCTTGTAACGTGCTGTTGGTTAGAAAATCTCAAAAACTGATGCCATCACCTGGAATATGTATGCCCAGGTTTTGCTTTGGCTGAAGCAGCAGGATTGGTGGAATTTTGGTATTCATGATTTTAATCTGATGATTGCCGCTTATGGAAAGTTGGGCCAACCGGGAATTGCTGAATTAAGTTTCACGGAGATGCGTGAGGTAGGATTGGAACCAAATGTAGCATGCTTTACGTCGCTTCTTGAAGCCCATGCACGGACTGGTAATTTTGTCCGGGCTGAATCAATCTATCAAGAAATGCTGAAAACGGGCCCTGCACCTACAGAGGTCACTTATCAAGTTTACATTAATGCGCTGTGCAAGGTACTTCTCACCTTATATCAAGACAGTGACAGTTTTCATGAAATTAAATTGCAGTTCACACAGCAATGTGCGGTGCGTATCGTACTATTCGTAGCACAAATCTCCGGTGCACTTATGTGCTGTGTATATAGTGAATGATCTTGCTTAACATTCTTACACAACTACTTGCCACATCCTATTCACTGAATTTCTTAAATGCTTGAGGAATGCCAGGCGGAGCGCTTCAACGATGCGGAGAGGATATTCAAATGTTTGGATGAGAGTGCTGAGGCAAAACCAGACGCTCGCTTGTATAATCTTATGTTGCACACTTATGGAAAGGCCGGGAAATTTTCAGAGCAACAGGCTCTTTTTCGACAGATGAAGGGTGCAGGTGTTCCTATGACAGTAGTTACATTCAACAGTTTGATGGCTTTCCAAAAGACTGTTGCAGATGCTGAGGCTTGTTTGCGACATGTATAGTTTACCATATTCTCCATACCTCCCATTTTTATTTTTATTATTTTCGGGCCTTTTTAGCTTGTTTTGATCTCTGTCGGTTGGTCACGTTTGCGTATCTACTCGAACAAATGTTCCATTTCAGGGTTAAGCCAAAGTGAAGTATTTTCATCACAGAGGAATGTAGATCTTCCTGAATGGGAAGTTGATAAAGGGATCATGTAATATCTGACAGGTCGCTTTGGCCCTGCTCTCAGATGCAAGCTGCCAAAATCAAACCAGATGTCATAACGTATACTGGATTGATCAATGCCTATTCCAAGGCACGGCGAGTTGAAGAAGCGCATGTTGTATTTCGTGAAATGGTTGCATCTGGTTTAAGGTAAAGTATTTAGTCGCTATACACCTCGCCGTGTCTGACAGGGATGCTTTGCCATTGCAACCACGTTTGCATTTATTTGACCTCGTTGTCTTTTTGGTTTTGAAAAGTGTACCTACGGTATTGAGCAAGGCCACAGTTGTGAAATTAGGTTAGATATGAATCTGTATGGTTTTGTTCGGCCGATGATAGCTCAAATTCCAACTGTTTACACCTGTTCTGTGCAGACCCTCAAGAATAGCATACAATACTCTCTTAGATGCATACGCAAAATGCAAAGAAGTTGAAGGAGCAGAGAGCCTTTTTAAGAGTATGGGACAAGATAGGTACTAAGCTTCTCGGTCACTGCCTCTTTTTTATGCAAAACATCCCCAGACTAGACAATGGTTCAACTTGAAGTGCATCTATTGTAAGATTTCATCTTCTTGTCAGGCTCATCATGTTGAAAGTTCTCATAGTGCCAACACCATGCTGTTACGCAGGTGCCGCCCCGATATACGTTCGTATACAACATTGTTGGCTGCTTATGCCAACACTGGAAACATGAAAAAAGCAGAGCGATTGCTGAAAAGGATGAAACAGGCTGGTTTAGAACCCAATGTAGTAACGTATGGAACGCTTATGCAAGGCTACACAAGTGTGCATGATATCAATGCAATGCTCCAAACCTTCGAGGATCTACAGAAGGCAGGCATTAAGCCGAATTCAACAATCTTCACCTTGTTGGTACGGACATTCGGCCAGCAGGAAGACTTCGAGAGTGCACTGTCCTGGTTTAAGAAAATGCTGGATTCTGGCTGCCCAGCTGATCAAAGGTCAAGAGCTGCCCTTATGGATGCTTGTCAAACTAGTGAACAGAAACAGGAAGTACTAGAATACTTCGGCAGTTTGCCTTAAGTTGAATTTGGCTATCTTGCAAATTATTATACACATCACTTTAGCTGTTAGAGTCTCAGTTTTTAGAGGACTCAGCTATATATTATTCACCGCAGATACCCACCTGGTGATAGCTTATGAGATTGACTTACCAAATGATTCGAAACATTTCTAATCTGCAAGGTGAACCACGGCTTTAGTAGGTCAGATTAACGAGCTTTAGTGTCAACTGAATATATATTATTGGATTTTGATGGTGCAAATATGGTATTGTCAAGACCTAATTGGTTTTGAGATATTTCAGGAAATAAAAGCTGTGCTTGATGTCATTATGCAAATGAATGTCACAATGGGTAGGCTAAAATCGAGGTCAGTAGGTTTGATTTCACTTCACTGAAGAATTGTGGATGGGTTTATTTAAGTCTAATCCTCAAAAAACAGCATGAAATGTTTTATTGTTGTATATATTTACAGTGATTTAGAGTAAAACCAAATAACGATATAGTGCTAATGAGATTCTATAAATGCAAGTTAATTTTGCTTAAGATAAGAGATATTTGTTGGAAGTCAATATAATTAACTGGATCTGAAGATTTACACGTTAGAATTGAAAGAATTAAAAAAATAGTCAAAAAAAACATGACCTAAATTAATAGAAACAAAACCTAGTTTCAAAACACATGTTTCTTTTTTTATATAAAAATAATGCTTTAAAAAATAATAATAATGATGATGATAGTAATAAATTACCTTTTCAATCTTACCCAACAATGTTAAGTGATCTCTATGGTTAAATAACAATGATGGGATTTAAGTATAAAGCTTATATTCATTTAAAGTATTTGTAGTAATTAAATTTTAAGTCTTATTATAATAAAATAAATAAATAAATAAATAAATCACTTAATGTTTATAGAAAATAGGAAGAACAATGGGTTTTAATATTTATTCATTAAGATTCATAAACAAATCACAATATCCTTCTCAAAACAACCTTTGATGTAATTTTTTGAGAAGTGTAATTTTCACATGCATGTTAAATATAGTAACTATATCAATTAACTAATCAACCCTATAATTTATATATATATATATATATATGTATATATATATATATATAGATAATGCAAATTAACAGATAACGACAAACTTTAAATACATATGAGAAATACAGGTTTTTAATTGTTAACCCTAACCTAAACCTAATTTATTGAACTGTGTCGTCTTCCCAAGGATTGTTGCAAAGGAATAATGCCCCTGGCCATGGAACATTGATGTTTTTTTTACATGTGGAGGAATCGTTGTAATGGTATTGAACAAGTGTAATGAGCACTGGAATTCCTGGTTAGGGTTTGCGTTGGGTGGGTGGAAGGAGGCCTGCGCAGGCGAGTTCTGCGAAGTAAGCAGCGTCACCGCCTGGCTAGCCTATCGCCCCCTAAAAATTAGAGTCGCACTCTAGGAGTGCTGCGAATGGCATCGACCACTCGCATTGTTTTCCTTACTCATTAGTTTAAGGCAAGCGGCAGTGTCGAACTTCGTCGTTCTTATACTTTCTGTGTGATGCAACCTTCTCAAACGCTATGGTTTAACAAATCATTTCGAAGACTTTGAGCTTCTAGAATGGAAGTTTCGACGTTACGTCGATTGTGAATCCAGCGAGGCAGCTTCGACGCTTTCGCGACGGATTCGGCGGACGTGTGTGCACACGGTTCCGTCTTGGAAACCCAATTTTTCGATCTATGTATAGCAGCATCCACATCGAGGTGAGTATTCAGGAAACAAATCGTGGAAGGGGAAGTGCTTTGCATCTACCAATGGGCATCGTTGTGATTCGATGCTACTCTGAGATTGTGAAAGATGTGAAGATTATCACCACAGGGCACAAGTTTAACGCAAATTCTTTAAGTTCGAAAATGTCCAACACGTTGGTCAACCAGGGACTCTACTGCGGAAGATTTTTTAAGCTTGGTGTAACCCAAGGTTTATCGTTGCAATTTGGCAAGTCTGAGTGTGGATCCGACTCGCTTCAACTAAAGAAATTCCTTGAAGATTACTCAGAACCCAAATTGCTGTGGCGCAACTGGGAAAGGACTGCCCTGAGAGGCAACGACGCAGAGAAACATGGAAAGCTCAAGCTTAATTAAAGGATAAACACGCAACATTCAAATTGTTCATTTCTTCAAGAATTGGTATACACAACTGCCGAGACGGTATCATTTTGGCCGTTCTCCATCCTTAAAGCTAAAGAAAATGCTAGATAGAAGCTGCCGTCTAGCTGTACTCTTGGAAGTTGGTATGGCCAGTGGCTTTTGCATGCTCCACTGCTTCCTGCATAACCCAATCAAATTCAGGTATTCCGTCATATTCAAGCAAAGTGTTCATCGTGGTGGCGTGAAACGAACCAAACTGTGTCTACATATAACTATTATAAGCACAATAGTTTATTTGAACTTACCGCTTGACCAACCGCTCCTTTTTGACACACGCCACACCGTAAAGTAAAGTTCCCTGTATCAGTAAACTTGCGTGCCCTGAACGTCATAAGGAGAGCAATAAAAATTCATATTATTGTAACCCTGGTGAAGATAGGACGCTCTGTATTTACAAAGTACTACGGAACAAAACAACCAGAAATATGAAATCATTACTTTTTCTACAAATCATCCATTCCCTTCATGTTTTGGTGCCAACGAGATCACTGATGTTAGCTTTTGAGAAACAGACTGAAGTTCCTAATCAGGTTATTATACGCAATTACTAAGAGATACAATCAGGCACAATTTCCAAATGCTGTCTGTGAAGAGACGTACTGCCAATATAACGTGGCATACACATGATAAGAACCATACCTATGAGCTTCTTCTACCACCCTTTCAGCCAAACGCGAAGCACTGCCAATATTGCCATTCTTATCTACCGAAAAGATAGTCTGATCAACTTCCTCAGGTGCACCTGGAAACGGTGCCAACTACATCCAACAACCGCCACCATCAACATAATATCAACAAGAAAGTGTAAATCTTACATAGTATTTCACAGTAATTCAGAGGAGAGAAAAACTAACAAAAACAAAAACAAAAAAAGGAACGGCATTCTGTAGTTTAATTAAATGAAACACTTCAAGTGGGCTTGGTGAACAAGCCTCATGCTAAGAAATCTTACACCTAGAGCATCATAGTGCAAACCATCATATAGCAGCATCACCCGTTCGATATAGCCTTTTCCCTGATCCACACAACTAAAAACGCTTTATACTAAATCCTTTGATGAATCATAACATTAAGAAATCAGACAGCGATGAAGAAATTTCTGCCTCTAGCGTGAAAAAATATAACCCAACTAGCGACCTCTATTGGTAATTAAATACTAACAATATCAATAAAGCACTATACATGAACAGTCTAAGCCACCATATCCGTCACATACACCTCTTACCTGGCCGTACAAATCACACCGTTTGGTTTGGATGTCATAAGCTGCGATTTCACGACCATAATGATCACTGAGAATCGCAAGCTCTATTGCACCTGGAAAAAGCTCACACCGCTATGAGATTCAATATGACTCCCTAATGATTTAGTAAGGAGGCTAACTAACAGCAGACAATTATCGTGGTCAAATGATTCACAATGCTCAGGATACAACAGATGTAATATCACTACCGACAACAAAAGTGAATTGTTGCCTTCATTTGTGGGCAGGGTTGTGTTTTCAAGTAAAACGTTTCCTGACAATTTTAACGAACAGCCCTATGCATGTGCTCAACTGCATCACCTACAAGTTTAGAAAATTCAAAAATTACCTCCCCACTTGTCTGGGTTAGAGATCCACTCAACATACTCTTGGTTGGGTTTGCCTAGAATCGCTTCAGAATACGTTGTCGGATCGCTCAACACAGTGGCTGCAATAACCTTCCACGACAATCCCAGCCATGCAAAGAAACGTCACATTCCTCCCAGAGTCAAAATTGCCAAACAGCCATTCCAATCCCTGTATCTGATGCTTAATGAATTTGCGTCTATTATGCCTGCAGACAAGTTTTCTTACTTCCTGTCTCCCTTGTAAAACCTTGAAAATTTTCGCTTCCGTAAGCAACTGCCACAGATGGCGACTTCAATGTTATGCTAGCATAACGTCTTGTGTTAACCTAATTTTTCTTGAGGACTTGGACCAATTCTTACCTGCCGCAGCTCCTTTGCTTTGTGTTTGTCCTTGTCCATGACGTACCTGCCATCACAACACAACTTATCCTTCTCAACCTTGGAAACCCCATGGATATTCTAAACTTCGAGTATATCCAGGACGATGCCATGCACAGATTCAGTAACGCGACATAAATCCACACATTCAAATGCAATTAGCTATTAAACTCGCCCGTTTAGAGCATGATTCTTTGCTCGGACCTACAAGTCAATCCAAAAAATACATGCCAACTGGGAGGAAAGTCTCAACCTCGACCGTTAGTAAGTTAGCCAGCAAAATGTCCGTATTCGGGACGTAGACCTGAAGATAGAATGAGAAGTACTGACAGGGCACCTCCTCATGTACATGAAAGGAAAGAATTGGACTCACCCAACAGCATTGAATAGGCAGCTGTTGTCGGATGGGATAACTCTTCGCACAACGACGCTCTCGTCCGCCATGGCGAGAATCTCTGAAGAACCAAACTGTACAAGTTCAGAAATGACCAATTTAGCATGAAAAGATTTAAGGAAATGAGCAACGGAGATAAGCAATTGTAGACGAAGCTTTCAGAGACGGAGAGGCAAAATAGACATTCTCAGACATGCCTTTCAAAATTCGCCTGAACGTTAATTTCATCTCCAAACTTCCTTTCACCGAGATACGGAGTTGAATTGAGGAATTCGTTCTCAGAAGTTTATAAGATTGATTCTCTGTCATTCTTAACCATCACTTACTATGTCAAAGAACGCTATGCTCCTAATTTTCTAATGCGGTTGTACTACCCTAATAAACTTGTTGACAAACGATGAAACCACAGAACTTCTTACCGTGTTGAGAATAGTTTCGCATGCGTACTCTACTACCACAGCACAATCTACGCTGCTTCAAGCATCATCAAAATGGGCGCGATATTCAGCAAACACAGCTTCAAACGAGTTTATGTAAAGAAAAAATTGCGGAGGACTCCAGCAATCCAAGCTTAGAAGCTCTTGACTGCTGCAATTTCAATATCTCATACCTTTCACAAACCTTAAAGCCATAGGGCGCTAGAGCGACGCGACATGGGTTCCAGCACTATTGAAACGTTACAATTGTTCTGACAGGGTAGGTTACAAACAAACATATGCACATAACTTGTCCACAGAGGGTTACGTAAATTGCGCAACACTTCACCAAAAAATTCAGATACGTATCCCAAAGATTGGCAACTCGTTTCACAGGTAATACGACCCTAAAATGACTTCTCAGATTTTTTTAAACGCATATTCAAGTCCTAACTCCTGCATTGTCTGACTTCGACACACTCGCGCTGTCCTAACATCAGCCAAAATCAAGCTCAAACACGTCCCACGCCTCATCAGCAACCTCCAATACGAAACTCAAACCCAACTTCGAAAGCAGGAAACCCAAATTCAGAAATTTCTTCAAAGTCACATGAGCTTCTGCGATTGACTTCCCACCCCGCGCTCCACACACCACACCCCAAATTGAACCCAAACTCTAAATCAAGCTCCCCCGCTAATCACATAACTTAATCACACTCACACCCAACTTATACTGCAACTTCCGTTCCAGTCACCCGGAAACCCACTCAGAAAACCTGACAAACTCACTCTCAATTGCGAGATTAGGACTATAAAAAAAACACTTGTGTAAAAAACAAACACTGGCGATCGACGACACACTAACTCATGCACCGCAATCGGATGCCAAGCTTCGAGCTAAGAAGCAGTACCGTTATCCACAAATGTCAGTAACGACGGTTCGTGAGTGAGGAAGCTCACCGGTCTGGTGACGAGAAACGGACTTCCGACCAAATTCCTCCACAAAGTTGTCGTGAATCGACAGCGATGACGTTCCAAAAGAGCAGCCAGCTCCGTGGGTTTGAAAAACGGCTCCCTCCCTATCACTCTCCTCTCTCTCCCGGTCCCGGTCTCATCAACTCCCTCGCCAATTTCGGCAGAAGCATTTCTCAGCAAAACTCAGTGCTACCAATTTTTATTCTGTCGGGGATCCTCCCGTACTCAGGGCGCCCTAGCCCACCATATCTCCATCCATGGTGGGTTTCGTTTTCCTTAGAATTTCACATCGTGGTCCGAACTCGGGTCTCCGCGACACCCGCCATTTCTGGAAGTCCCCACCAGGATTAAAGTAATTATGAAAATCACCTAAGATCTACATCTCCGTGTTACTTCCCGTTGCAAGTATGGAACTGAGATCTGTTTGCGTTGTTTGTTGTGAAGAACATGACTGTGGTTTGGCCTATTCTGCTAATAGCAAGAAGGGGTAAGGAGGCCTACATAGGAGTGTGATGTCCAATGCCCTCTTTGTTGCTTCCTTTTAACTTGGAGGAGTTCCTATTGTGTGTAAGGCATTGTATCCATCCTACTACGCATCTCTTGTTATGTAATTTCAACAATTCTAGTGGTTTGAGGCAAGTATATTAGGGAAGGGGGTTTGATAATTTATCTTAGTGTTGTCACTTCAATAAGGGCATCAATTTCACATTAGAGGTCGTCGCATAACAATTGTGCCAAACGTGGACTAAAACGTTCAATGACTATATCAATGGGCAAACAAATTCGTCTAGTGCCTACTTTGGTGTAGAGATAGAGGAGTCATGCTTCAAAGAAATTGGCCAATTGTAAAAGGTGTACTTGTTGTTGCCATATTTTGATCAATGAGTCGTTGACAAGATTTAGTTAATGCATCAAAGCAATTTTTTGAGGGATCCACAAGTGCCAAATTTTTTGGAATTTTTTTTGGCAATGCATATTGTTATAACTTCTTGATTTAAGATATTGCAACACTTTCATTTCTCCTAATTATTTGGCCAAACTAATTTAGTTGTTTAGCTTCATTGTATAGGAGTAGAAGTTGTCTCTCTTTATGCTATCAATATATTTCTATTCTTAGTCAATAGGATTCTATGATAAGTATGAGTTATTAAATTGATTCATGAGTTATTTTAGAATAAAAAGATATATTTAGAGTGCTTAGAACCACAATATATAATGAATAGTATAGAAAACTTTAGACAAATAGAAAATTAGAATATCAGTTGTAGAATTGGAGTCTTAATAAGTCTTGGAGGCAATTATTTTAATTAGTTTAGTATTTTTTATTTATTATTGAATATTGAGGATTATTTACTGAAGTAAATATTTAAATTGGCCTTCAATCTATACATATTACTTATAAAAAAACTATAAATGTTAGTTAGTAGTTAGAAGAAGCATAAAAAAAGAACTTCATGTCTTTTTAGTTATTTATATATAAAGCAAGATTTATAGTAGATTAAATTTGATTTTATTACTATAAAAAATTATTAAGGTAGGAAAGTATAGCTTCAAATTAATTCTAATATTATAAAAATATTATAGAATTTATTTAGAATTTATTTAGAATTCTTTAGGAATTCTTAGAGTAATTTCCAAGACTTTGATAAAAATGAATTTTTACCACTTCGGAAGCCATAATGAAGAAATGGAGTAAGATTTGAAGGCCACATAAGGTTCCAAGGCTAATTGGGTATTTTTAAACACCATGGTAAAATAAAAAAAAATGCACAATTATTGGTTTTACTAATAGAAAATAGGAGGATCAACAACTAGTGTAATCCTTATAAGAAGGAAAGTGCACAAGTCCCACATGGATTGTAGCACCTTGAAGATAGTTGGGAGGATAAGACTAAAGCCTTGGGATCAACAACTAGTGTAATCCTTATAAGAAGGAAAGTGCACAAGTCCCACATGGATTGTAGCACCTTGAAGATAGTTGGGAGGATAAGACTAAAGCCTTGTGGCCTCTATTAGAGACCCATATATACTACTTGTGAGCCTTAGTGAGGCTCAAACTCTTGATCTCTTAAGCAAGTTATTCTTGAAGAAAAAATTATTTACTTAATTTTTTATTTATTTACTTGTTATTTTTAAACCTTTATAACTTATTTATAATAACTAAAATTTATATATTTTTTATATTTTTGAAAAGATAAAAAATTACCTATCTAAAAATATATTTTTTAATTTTATTTTTTATTTTTTATTGGATGATTACTCAGTGAATAAATTGTGATTAGATTTGTAGTGTATGATTGCTTGATTGCACTTGTTTCACTTGTTTTTGTGTTTTGTATTTTTTGTTCTTGTTCTTGCTATTTTTACTTCACACCGCCAATTACAACCAACTCTTAATTAAAGCCACCTTGTAATTGGGTTGAAGAGTGAATTTTACACTCATAATAAGTGTAGTATTAGAACTATGCTAATGAGTCAAATCATGTTGTGTGGTTGTAGCAAGTAAGTGGGATTGTAAGATATAATTATGACTTTCACTAAGAGGGTGAGGATAATTTAGACTTATTTTTAAAAAAATAGTAGGATTGTTGTGGCTCTACCTAAGATATAACTAAGATCTTTTATGTTAGATGACTTAGTATCAATGTGCTTGCCATCTTCTTTTATGACCTTGTTGGATATAATAGAATATGTAAATAGATCCTACAATTTTATGTATAATTTACTCTCTTAGTTTAGAGATAAAGATATTAGTTGCTATCTATAGAATATAGCTAAACACTTTTACATTCTACATTTAAGTAATTTTTGAATTAGCTTTGTGTAATAGGTAGTTGCAGTGTAATTAATCTTGATTATTAAAATGTCAAAGGTCTTTGATTTAGAAGACTTTATATCTTTCCATAGTTTTGTATTGTGATATCTATTGAGTATTAAGTGCTTGGTCAAATTGATTTTTAATCAATGAATTATCAAAGGTTATGTCTCGTTATTTTCTTATAATATTTATATTGAATGTGTCATGGTCTAATCCTCATATATATCTATGCATTGAAGATATGTTTTTACAAAGATGAGTTTTGTTTAGAAAGTTGACTAGCTTCTATAATCTAGTGGATATGAGCATTCCATTTGTATGCACTTGTCATCTCAGTTTGAATAATGTTGTGTCAAATGAATGTTTTCTAAGGTTTATAGTTGAATTGTAATAATTAATATATAATTTTGGAGAGGAAGGTCATTATTTGTATTATTAGGTCTAGATTTTAAGTTGATATATATATATATATATATATATATATATATATATATAATTGATTGAATTGTAGTAGATCAAGCTATGTTGACTTTAATATTACTTCTAGTCTTTGTTTTTTATATATAATTTTAGATAACAACATGGATTTATTTGAAGGTGGCTCTAACAATATATATACATGAATATATATATATATATATATATATATATATATATATCAAAGGATAGCAAGAAGTATCTAATTAGCAAATAAGATTTGGCTTGCTAAAGATATAAAATATGCTCATTATATATTGAGTGTTTTTGTTAGCATAACTAAAATTTTGTTGTCAAGTTCTTCTATGACAATACAAGAGTTAACAGAGAAGTTTACTTCTCTATCTATTATTTGAAGAAATGCGAACTAATATTGAATGAAATAAAAGATGAAACTCCATCTTTTCTCTCCAAGCTCCAAGTTTGCAATCCATTGGATAGACACCCTAGATTGACTAACATGATGAGGTATTATCTCTAAAGAAATTCTCTTCTATTAGATGGCCTCTATTTTACTACAAGCTTTTTCATGCCTTGTACAAAATGCCAAAATTCCACCTTCACGGATCTTCTCGTAATCTACAATAAACATTAAAAAAAATACATATTTATTATATTGTAGCTATTTATAAAAAAAATACTTAAAGCTGATTATTTACTATTCACTTCTAAAAGAAATTATAATAGACACTATACTACAAATTACAAGTAGAATATATCACATGCATGATATCAAGATAGCACATTGTAACTTAAAGTTTAATTATATTATTGTAGATCCAATAGATGTTTTAAAAGTAGTTGATAAGGCATATACACATATAAAATTGCATGATTTTGGTATTTCAAAGGTTGAAGTGAAGAACAATTTAGAAGTATTAAAAAAATGAAGAATTTTTGGTACTATTTGATATATGATGTCTGAGATTATAAAAAAGAATGGAGATGAAAAATCTTTGCTAGATATAGATGATATGAAAGCAAATGTATTTAATTTTGTTATAATACGTAATATGATTATTTTAGAAAAAAAATCTTTTGATGGTAAATATATTATTTTTAGTACTTATTAATTAAATATAAAAAATAATAAAAGATTTAATTTATTAAGTACTTTTTAAAAAAAATTAAAATTATTAATAAATAATTATTGATCTTTGGATCTATTATAAATGCTTATACTTCTTAAAATTTATACAAAATTAAAATTATTAAAGAAAAAAATGATCCAATGATCTTTGGAAGATAAAGATCTTAAATATAAGGAAAATACATCATAGATTATCATTATTTTGGATTCAAAGTAATGATGGATAAGCCTCATAGAAAATTTATTGATTGGTATATGATAATTTTTTGCCATTTTTTATTTTAGGCTTATAGTTCTTGTGCCAAACTAGAAAATTTGATTTTATAATTCCATTAAAAGTTGGCCAAATTTTTTTTTCATCAAATCAAATTTTTAAAAAGATATATGCTCTTGAAAAATTATTTTACAATTGTAGTAGCTATTATGTGGTATAAAATGTGATTTGAATTTTGATATATATAAAGATATTATAATTTATATAAATTAATGTAATACTTAAATTTAAGAGCTTATTAATTATAAGAATTTAATATAA